TGGGATACCAAATTGATGACGTTTTCGTCATAAGAAAAAAGAAGGTTATATCGAACAATAGCAGCAACATTGTTCTCGTTATTTTCAGCTTTCTTTCCTTCTCTAGAGCAGCAACATTGTTCTCGTTATTTTCAGCTTTTTTTCCTTCTCTAGTGTCTTGATTCAACTTGCGACAAAACATTTGATGTGTCCTTTCTTGCCACAGTGGTTGCATGTAATTTTATAGTATTTGGACCTTGACTTACTTCTACTTTTACCTCTATTCCTTGAGCCTCTTGTTCTATCTCTTCCCCGGTTTTCTGTAACCAAGATATTTGCTTGTGAGGACGAACCCTGAAAATCTTTCTCCTTACTTCCTCGTTCAACACACCACTCTTGCCATATTCCATGGTCACCTTACTTCCAGGAGCTGAATTTGTCAAAGAAACATGAAGAGTTTCTCAAGAGTCTGAGAGAATATTAAGAAGCCAAAGTCCTTGTATTTCATCATCAAAATTAACTCTCATTCCAGACAGCTGATCAAGGGCGCCCTGAAAATCATTTATGTGATCAAGGATAGGGATGTCTTCCTTGTATTTAAAGGTCATCAATTACTTTAGCAGGAACAACTTGTTGTTCCCAATTTTTGAATCATAAAGAGCCTCTAGCTTTTCCCATAATGATCTTGATGTGTCTCGTTCATAATATGGTTGCGAACCATTATCTTCAACCCGTTGGCATATATATCCACATACTTGTTGGTGCTCGAAATCCCAATCTTCATCAAATACACTCTCGGGTTTATGAGCTGCAAAAACGGGTAGATGCATCTTCTTCACGAACAACAAATCTTTCATCTTGCTTCTCGAAACATTATAATTTCTCCCATTTAAACATACCATCTTGCTCATATTCGCCTCCATTCTGTAACAACCCGGATAAATAATCAAGACTCTGATACCACTGTTATGTCGAGAAAGAGGCAAACCGAAAAATAAAGAAAGTAAAGAATACCAAATTTTCATGTGGAAAACCCTTCAAATCGAAGGTAAAAACCACGGGATCACAAAGATCCAAAAAGCTCCACTATAACAATAAGAGGGTTACAAAAGTTCTCCAAATTGGTTACACAACAAGTGCCAAACACGAAGCAACAATAGCAACAAGAGCAACACCAAATCAATTGAAGAAAGAGGAGAATCCACAAAAATTAAGTTGTTGTTAGAGGCTAGAAATCAGATTCTATGGGCCTCCAAATCCGATCTTCACCGTTCAAATCAAACAGATGTTACGAACACTCAGTCAAAATTTCAGCCCGATCCAACAGTTAATAAATTGAAAAACGTGATTTGAAGTTGGCTAGTCGAAATAAAAATTTGCAGCAAAACAAATACTTTTCTTCTCTCTTCTTTCTTGATGAAAGCTCTCTCAAAAACCTCTCTTATGTGCTTAAGTCTTTTAAAGACTTGTATCAATGAGCATAGAATAATTCTTCAAGATTATCCTATTTATAGATCATGAGTGGTGCTTTCCCTTAAAGCCAAAACCAACTCAAAATAGGAACAAAAATCGAATCCAATTCCTAACAGAAATGGAAATCAAAAGAGAATAGGATTATGCCATCGGGCCTTTGGCTGGACAACATGGGCATGTGCCCAGCACACAGTTGACTGACTTCTGATATTTTCATTGCTACAAAGTCATTGGACTCATTACGTAATAGCAGTAACTCACATTGTTGTTTAAATTTTATGAAGAGATTGGCCATGCAATGACCGAGTTCATTTATCTTTGGAAACGTTATGTACATAACAATTTTTCCTCCTTGACTTAAGTTTCGTTACGTTGGACCAACACAACGTGATTAGGCCCAAACCAAGACAGTTACTTGAAGCCCAGAGAGCCTCACTATACTGGACAAAAAGTGTGAGGGATTATCCCAGTAAAAATGACACCAGGTAACCACTCTATCAGGTTGCTGTTTAAGGAATAGCCAATATATCCTGAATTTCAATTTTTCAGTTCAATATTCTTAGTTGTCTTGAAATTAAGATTATTACTTTAAAATATCAGAATAAAATAAATAATAGTTAATCCCGGTATAACATCGCTGAGAATGACTATACGTACACGCCCCATTATCCCAAACCAAGACAGTTTACTCGACGCCGAGCAGCTTTCTGGGATTGGACCGCGGACTACGTCCACCACCTTGGACCAATTCAAATGTATTTTTCCAATTTTTAGTTTATTTATTTCGTACAACTTTAAATTTACGTAATTTTTTAACTTGCGACGTCCAAAAGTGATTGTTCTTGTTTTTATGAGTATGAGCCCGTTTGAATTAGCTAAAAAAGTAACTTTTCAGCAAAAATAACTTTTAAGCCAAAAAATAATAAAGTTGGGGTTGCCTAGCTTATTGCTTTTGGCTTGTTTTAAGTCGTTTTAAATTTATTTTAAGTACTTTTTAACTTTGTCAAACACTTAAAAAGTTAAAAAGAGTTTAAAAACTGATTTGATCAGCTTAAAAGCCAATCCAAACACCCTCTATATTATTGCATGAAACTTAAAAACTTTTAAGAACTTAAATTCGTGTGAGTCTAGAGCTGTCAAAACGGGTCAGCCCAGCCCAATCCAACCAAGCCTCACGGTCTTTTAAATTTGGTGGGCTAGCCCGCTATCTGAATGGGCCTTAAAATGGCAAGCCCAATCAAGCCTAAGAGGGCCGCAGACTAGGACGGGAGACCCTTTATTTTCTTAGAAAAAAATTTCTTCAGATCTTTAAATATTTCTTCGTGACATAATTGCTTAATCATGTGAACAACTTCTGTTTGCTTAGAGCGTACAAGAAGGTTGATACTTGGCAAGGAATTCCGTAATTGAAATGCAAATTTTATACTCTCTTCGTTTTAATTTATGTGAACATATTTCCTTTTTAGTCCGTGCTATTTTCATATTTGAAAACAATTTACTTTATGCAATGATTTATAACCACACAAAATATATGTGTCTCATTTTATACTATAAGTTCAAAACTCTTCTCTCTTTTCTTAAACTTCGTGCCCAGTTAAATAAGTTCACATAAATTGAAACGGGAGGGAATATATCTCTAGCTCTTCTTTTTTAACATTACATGAATATTTTTTTAAATATTTTTTCTTTCAAATTTCTCAGGTTTAGAAATTGCTTCAATAAGTTTATATGTTGAGGTCTTTTAATTTGGATTTAACATCATTTGCTGATTTCATCATTATAGTCCATAAATTTTTTAAAATTTAAGAAATTTTCTAGTATTGTTAATTTTTTTTTCGGGTATTAAAAGTTTATCTTCTCCGATACTGAAGAGCAGTTTAGTAGTTAATAATATACTACCTCCGTTTTAATTTATGTGAACCTATTTTCTTTTTAGCCTGTGCCAAAAAAAATATAACCCATTTTCATATTTGGAAACAATTCACCTTTATGAAATAATTTATAGTTACACAAGTCTTATCTCCACAAGTTTACACCACAAGTTTCAAAGTCTTATCTCTATTTTTTAAATTTCGTGCACAGTCAAATAAATTCACATAAATTGAAACGGAGGGAGTATTAAAGTAATTCAAACTGATCATTGACCACTTAAAGTATTATTCTCCTTTGAAAAAAAATATTACTGGCCACTTAAAACTTTACTAGTTCGTTATTAATTAAGCAAAAGCTTGTCATACTACATGTATATCAAAAATCAAAATTCTAGTTGATATGGAAGGGCAAATGAATAATGTAGGATTGGAAAATGGGGATTATAGTTAATATTTATTTTAGTTTTTACTTTTTTAATTGATATATTCTCTCCGTTTCAATTTATGTGAACCTGTTTGACTGGGCACGGAGTTTAAGAAAAAATGAAGACTTTTGGAGTTTGTGGTACTAGGGGTGTCAATGGTTCGGTTCGGTCGGTTATTTTGTAAATTTTGTACAATACCAATTTTTCGATTATTCATTATGTATAACCAAAATTAGACTTTTCGAAACCGTCCCAATTATATCGGTTTCTCTTTGGTATCGATACGGTTCGATTAATTTTCGGTATTTTTTTAAAATGTCATGTAAAAGTCACTAGTAGAAGTAGAATGCAATAACATCCAAACTTTTATAGGAGTTAACAAAACTCTCTAGACATTTTTACATTTTAAAGGGCGATAAATTAAGAAAATATGAAAGATGGCTAGAGTATAGATCCATCAACTACTCTACAATAGCGTAAAAGAAACTAAACAAATTAATATAAAGAAAATATAAATTACACGAGTGGAAAGATATTAATCAAACTGGAACTGGGACTGAAAAATAAAGTCTATAGAAGATTAAATATTCAAAAAGATAAACTTAAATCATACAAAAGAAAATATAATCAATACATTATAGTTTGCTACTCATAATCGCTATAATGCATTGTGTCTTGCTAGTGAATATGCTAAAAATAATTTATTTTCGATGGGAGTGGCATAATAGGTTTGAGAATTATAATTTTGCGTTTATTATTTGTTGGCTTGTAATTATTTTCATAATTCCAAAATCTAAGGAAAAATTTAATGTTTTATTATTTTTAAACTTAATAATAAATATACTTTTCACATGTAAATTTATTCGGTACGGTTCGGTATTTTTTCGATTTATTTTTATAAAATAAAAAATCTACCCTAATTATCGGTACGGTTATAGATTTATATAAAAACCTACATTTTATTAAAAGAAACCTAAAAATCGGTACGGTTCGGTCGGTTTAGTAGTTTTTAAATATTCATTGACACCCCTACTAAACAAGCTAAAAGGGATTTAGAGTATTTGTGTGTTATAAAAGCTTCTTAAGGATAGAATTGTAAAATTAAACTAAATTATTTTCAAATTTAAAAATGATAACTCTTTTTCGAACGGACCAAAAAGTAAATAGAAACGGAGGAAGTGGTCGGTAACATAAAAATTGATTGTGATCGCAGCACAACCAACAAGTGTTAGTGGAATTTAAAGCTAGCGCAGGAAGGAAGTGATGGTTTGGTCGTTTGGACTTTTTGAGTTTGGTGTATCCATTCCTTATTGTCAGCGAAAACAAAGCCTCCGGCAAAATGGCATCTCCTCCGCCATTTCTATACCCTCTTCTCATACTGATTATCTCATTTTTATGGCAAGCATCAGCTATTCAACTGCCTTCAACAAATGGTGCTCGCTATCTGGGCAATTTCTGGAGCTCAAGCAAAACACTTCCACTTGTTGGTAAAAGTAAAGCCCCGAAGTACGAGTACGAGACCAAATATTTTCAGCAGAAGCTGGATCACTTCAGCTTCGCTGATCTACCTTCGTTTCAACAGCGTTACCTGATCAATACCCAACACTGGGTGGGTCCCTCTCGCTTGGGGCCCATCTTCCTCTACTGTGGCAATGAAGGGGATATCGAATGGTTCGCTGCCAATACTGGCTTCGTCTGGGAAATTGCCCCTCGTTTCGGTGCCTTGGTTATCTTCCCCGAGGTAATTATACATTTAATTCTAACACTGTAGACTAGTTGTAATCAGTAGACTTGCTTAAAATGTTGATAATTGATGAATTATTTTAATTTGATTTTTGCAGCATCGATACTATGGGGAGTCAATGCCGTATGGAAGTAAGGAAGAAGCATATAAGAATGCTACCACTTTATCGTATCTAACAGCTGAACAAGCACTGGCTGATTATGCCGTGTTAATCACTGAGCTTAAAAGAAATTTATCTGCACAGGCATGCCCTGTTGTGTTATTTGGTGGATCATATGGTGGAAGTAAGTAGAAGTACTATATTTGTTTTAAATCAATGCTATGAGTTGTGCTTCACATAGAGGGTCTCTATTTTTTTTTTTTTTTTTTTTTTTGTGTTTGGAACAGTGCTTGCAGCTTGGATGAGGCTCAAATATCCCCATATTTCCATTGGTGCACTTGCTTCTTCTGCACCAATTCTTCAGTTTGAAGATCTTGTGCCACCTGAAACCTTTTATAACATTGTCTCCAATGATTTCAAGGTCTGTAAGACTGAGTTTATATCTCTACTGACATCTAAAATTTACTAGTATCTATTTGGGAAACTTTCAGAGTAGGATCAAATTTTTTTGATACTACAAATTTTAACCAAATATATTCTCTTATAGTCTTATTGGAATATGTTCAGCTATTTTGATTTTTTTTGGTTATCCCGTTAGGTTTAGCCTCCTCCATTTCATTATTTGAATTTGATGAAGTGTAGACACTTATCTAGCGCCCATCTATAGAGTGGTAGAGTAATCTCGCCATGCATCAAAATTGGATGGCGTGCAGAATTCTTACTAGTTATGCACAACTTTTGTGCAATCGAATACTATCATGCCTTCAAATCTTATTTGTCTATGATTTGGAGATAAGTAGGAGTTCACTCGATCATAGTTCGGAAATTTGACCTATAATTCAAATTTAGAGCATATTAACCTATGTAAATATTCAACGTATAAAACTATTGCCAATTGTTAATTTATAAACTATAAAATAGATTTACAAACCACTACGAAGTTTTACGCCATTCACTTCAGGACCATATTTAATTCACATTAATATCAATCTCAACTCTGTAAATTGAATCTAGTATGCACTTGGCCAAAAATGCAATCACATTTGACTGAATTGATCCATATTTTGCCTTGTCAAATTAGGACAGGGATCCTTCACTAATGTAGTTCTTCTGATTCATTCCAAAGCTCTAGATTAGCATTTATGACATCTATGATGTATCACCTTCTGCAGCGTGAGAGTATGAGTTGCTTTAACATTATCAAAGAGTCTTGGGATGTGATTAACTCGGTAGGACAGATAAATGGTGGACTTGCACAACTGACAAAGACTTTCCACCTCTGTAGGTAAGATGCCTATGACACCACCCTTTGCTGTCTTGTTAGCTAACAGTGTCATTGACTTTTAGAATTTCATTATTCAAATTTCAAGTTGAGGCAATTTGATCCTACGTTGTGATTGGCAGGAAACTGGAGAGTGTTGACGGCTTGTCTAACTGGTTAGAATCCGCTTATAGTTACTTGGCAATGGCCAACTACCCCTATCCTACCGGCTTCTTGATGCCTTTACCTGGAAGCCCAATAAAAGAGGTTAGCATTGGACCTTATACTCTCCATGAAGCTACCTGGTAATTTCAAGATTACAATAAATGCTCATGCAGAAGCCATCTTTTTGAGGAAAAGCATTTGCATCTCAATTGATACAGAGTGGCAGATAGCAGATGTTTCCCTGCATGGTGATCAACAAGTAGTCAATTTTCTAAAGCAATTTCTTTCCTGTGAATAATATCCTTCCGACCTCTTTGCTTTCAGGTATGTAGGAAGATTGATGGTTTGCCTGATGGTGCTAGTGTCCTGCAGCGTATATTTGAAGGAATTAATGTCTATTATAATTACACTGGGAAAGTTGACTGTTTCAATCTGGACGATGATCCTCATGGTATGAGTGGTTGGGATTGGCAGGTATGGTGATGATGAATATACACGATCTTGCTCTGTTGTTCATAATTTGAGTTCTAAAGTCATAAAAGGATGCACTCCTACAAAAATTCCTCCCAACTAAGTTGCTTTCATCTTTCGTACAATGTCTACAGGCATGCACTGAGATGGTTATGCCTATGGCAAGTAACAAGACGACTAGTATGTTTCCGGAGTTTTATTATGACCCAAAGTTGAATGAAGAGCAGTGTTTGAAAGATTTTCATGTCAAACCGAGGCCGACATGGATAACAACTGCATTTGGCGGACATGTATGACAATGTGCAAATCTGTATATCCTTAAGAGTTCCATGGAAATTATATATACCGTGTGTAGAGTTACAAATAAAAACTTTTGAGGTCTAGATCACATGATCTATTCACTCTGACTGTGGATAGAATATGAAGGGGAATAACAATTTTGAATTTTTTTAAAATCTTTTTGATAAGAAAAGAAGAGTATATTAAAACTTTCAAAAGGGTTAAATACTTATTTTTTATTTAAATTGCTCAGTATATTGTAAATTTGTTTATTTTGATAATGCATAGAATATGGAATCAAGTGGCATTTCCTGTGCAGGACCTTGTATAATGTGCAGAATGTAGTAATCGTTCTATACTGCTTAGTTTCTAGATTTTCATTTTCCTTCAGCTTCCTTATTTGAGTTATTTGCTGTTTCTTTCTTGTGTTGAAGGCATTCAAGAGTGCGCTAAAAGCTTTTGGGAGTAACATCATATTCTCGAATGGCCTGTTAGATCCCTGGAGTGGTGGCAGGTAGTCTTTTTTCTTTAGTTTCTTTTGTAGACTATGGAAACTCAATCCAAAAGTTTTTACTAAAATTATATGTCAAAACATTTTGTGTAGTGTTCTGGAGGATGTGTCAGAAACTATAGTTGCTTTGATTACTGAGAAAGGTAATTCTCTGACTGCACTTTAAATAATTCCTCATTCTCAACGCTTTTTTGATATAAGTAACAGTGTACCAATGTCGTCTTTTCTCATAAGCAATCATCATCCTGAGTGAATGCTGCTGTCGTTGTTCTGTCTGCTGAGTTGATCTGATAAAGTGCATGTGACCTCATCCTCTCATTGTTTCTTCAAACAATCATGATTGATACCAATTATACCAATTTCTTCTTCTCTTTCCTTATTTATTAATTTCTATTACTGTCTGAGGCAGGGATAAGCACATTGCTAAAATCTTAAGTGCCAAAGCCAATATGTTTTTCAGTAAGAATGACAATCATTTTCAAACACTTGCTTTCTTTTTAAAGGATTCTTCTGTTTTACACTTTGATAAAAAATTTGTGATGGCTGCCTGCTTTCCTCTTTTCACATCTATAGCTAGTGAGCAACTTGCCATTTAGGCTCTAAGACGCAACTTGATGAAGTTGCAAATTCAGATACCGACACTCTATGAACCTCCATTAGTAAATATTGGGTTTCCAGTGGGACCATGTAATGTAACTGTTTATGTGATAAAAGTTTTGAATGAGACTGCAAGTTCATCAAAGTTTATGTGAGCTGGTAATAGAAAGCCCCTATAGATGGCACTCCAACACCTAAGGAAATCATCTGTTCTGAGAGAAGGAACTCCATTCTTAAGTTCCTTTTGTCTTTTGTTTTTCTCTTCCACCAATTATATTTTTAATGTGTGTTTGTACTCCCTGTTTTACTTTATATTTGTTTTGGGAAGTTCATGGTTTTGAGATTGAATAACAACATACCCAGTATTATCCTACACTGTGGGGTCTGGGATGGTTTTGAGATTGAGATAGCAGAAAATTGTTTGGTAGTTGATGGGCCATTACTTGAGCATACGATCGTGATCAGCTTGCTATCTATACTGGTGAGGTAGAGGTACCCGGTGGAATATTCAAAGTGCATGCAAGCTGGCCCGGACAACACCGTCATAAAAAAAAAAATTCGTGATAAACTTTCTGTCCCTCTGACTGCTTGGGTGCAAGGATTCAGTTCATTTTTCTTTATAGATGTGCAGTGAATACAATGGCTTTGACATCAATGTGTATGTTTATATATAATGTTGGTAATTGACTGAAAACCACAAGACAAGAGCAGTTTGCTTCACCATAACATGATAACTGCACTATTTTGTTTATGTTTAGGTGCCCATCACTTAGATCTACGTGCAGCAACAGCTGAAGATCCTGATTGGCTTCTGGAGCAAAGGTCAAGCGAGATTAAGCTGATCAGGGGCTGGTTGGACAAGTACTATGATGAAAAGAAGGCAACTTTCAGCATGTAGACAATACCTTTCCTTCACCAGAAAACTGGCAAATTTTTCTTCCCTTTGCTAACGTGAGAGACCACCTTTACCAAATGCTTCAGTGTTTTCACCATTCTACATATGACTTTCAAGGGATTAATCATCGGTCGTGGTGCAGCATATGGAACTGAAATGCCTTTTCTCTCCATCATCATATGATCACTTGTGGTAACTATCAAAGGTAAGATATTAGAGCATTAACAAACTGTTACCTTGCACAGATATTTCTGAAATAGAACAGAAGCATTTTCTTCCTACTTCTTAGTGAACTACATCTGCAGGAAAAGGATGTAGGAATTTGAAGACTTTGTTATGTTTACTTCCTTGGTTGCATCATTGCATCTCCAGTCTGGACTCCTTTTGTCCCTTTGTTTTATGCCACTGTTATTATATTGGAGCTTGAGTAATTGTACTGCTACCAATTTTTTCAAATATACCTTTAAAAATTTTAATTGAGCAACAGAAAATTTACAGTAATTTTATATAGTTTCTTAATTTTTCAATTATACTTTTCAAAAGTAAGCGGAGAAAGGGGTTTGAGTCTCTTAACTTAAATGTTCTTCTAGTATTTTAAAGTCGTTGTTATTCATTTTAGGATAACACTGAATAGGTCATTAATCACAATTCACAACAAAATATTTTACTCGAGTAAAAGTTGTTTGAGTGTCATTTGTCAGCCTAATGAAATTAATTAGCTTCTGTAAGGCTAGTGTATTTTTGACCAATTTGCTGGGAAACTAAAAAATCTCAACGACTCAACGTGCCACTATCAACTCAAAGCAAAATAATAAAGAGAAGAATGCTTAACGAAGTCCTCTCAATAAACGATCTGGTCCATCTGGATCAAAAGTTTTGCAAGAAGCACATGTTTGCCAGCAAATCATTATATTGTAGTAAATGCATCAACATAAATACATCCTTAAATGTTATCAGATCAAACTATCTTGGTTCTGAGTCATGTTCTAAGCTTTCACGAAAATGTACTTTTAGGTGCATACCACAAAAAATAAGTGCCAACATTTTGTAATTCAAAAGTATTGAATTTACTTGTTATATCCATTATTTTACAAGTTAGGATAAAAAGAAAAAGAGCATTGTAATCATGTAAATTTTAATATGAGATTTATGCCTTATGTTTTATAATAAATTTGTATAGCTTGTTTTTGGGTCGATTAAACTAAAATTAATATGAATTTCAGTAATTAATCCAAAAATTATTTTTAAATGTTAATTAATCTAACTTAAGATTTACCTGATCATAATATTGATTTTTTAATCACAAGACTGATACACATGTGACCCAAATTTCAAAAATTACAAATGCAATTTAAATTACCTGTGTATTGGTGAAATGTAATTGAGTAATTATAAATGTAACGCAGATGGCCATAGTTAAAGTGAAGCACTTAACTTTTATCCATACTCAAAGAAATCATAATTCGTAATTTCTTATTTGATTGCATTTTCTGTTTTATAATGATGATATATTATACAGTTTCAAGGAATCTTTTGTTTTGAATTGAAGTTCTTAACTTTTCATTGTAACTTTTCCAACTTACAGTAGATTTGAATTTCAAGTGAGGTTTTTGAAAAAGTTAAAGGACGTTGCAAACGTCTTCCTTACACTTAGTAGGCGTTTGGACATAAGAATTGTAGAATTCGAAAAAATGGTGAATGTAATAAAAGAAGAAAAACAATATTTCAGAGAAAGAGAGAAAAAATTCTTATTGAATTTTGGGATGATTTACAATGGGTAAGACCCCTCTATTTATAGGGGGAAAATGATTTAGCCACAAAGTAAAACTCTCTAAAAGATAGACATTCATTCTAATTATAACTCTATTCATAGCACTCCCCCCTTGAATGTCTACTCAATAAGTAATGTGCCTCGTTAAAACCTTAACTAAAACAAAACCCAATGGGAAAAAAATCCTGGAAAAGGAAAAAGAGTACACATGTTTAATAATACGCCTTTTGTTTGCCTCATTAAAAATCTTGCAAGGAAAACCAAGTGGGACAAAACCTTGTAAGGGAAAAAAAGAGTGCAACGCATATTAAACTCTCCCTGATGAGAGCATCAATTCACATCCTAGTCTTCGCATCCCAATCTTGTACACTAGCTTCTTGAAGGTTGGCGTCGGTAGAGACTTGGTGAACAAATCAGTCATATTATCACTTGAACGAATTTGTTGCACATTGATATCACCATTCTTTTGAAGATCATGTGTGAAAAATAACTTTGGTGAAATGTGTTTTGTCTTATCTCCTTTTATGAATCTTCCCTTCAATTGGGCTATGCATGCTGCATTGTCTTCATACAAAATCGTGGGTAGTTTGTCACATTTCAAACCACATTTGTCTCGAATAAGATGTATTATAGACCTCAACCGCACATACTCTCGACTTGCTTCATGAATAGCAATTATTTCACCATGATTAGATGAAGTAGCCACAATTGATTGCTTAGTCGATCGCCAAGATATGGCAGTGCCTCCACAGGTAAAAACATAACCTGTTTGAGATCGAACCTTGTGTGGATCGGATAAATACCCAACATCGGCACAACCAACAAGATCGGAACTGCAATTATTGCCATAAAATAAGCCCATGTCAGTAGTCCCTTTTAGATACCGCAATATGTGTTTGATTCCATTCCAATGTCTCCTTGTGGGAGCAGAGCTATATCTTGCTAAGATATTAACTGAAAAAGTTATGTCAGGCCTTGTAGTATTAGAAAGATACATTAGTGCACCAATTGCACTAAGATATGGTACTTCAGGACCAAGTAGCTCTTCATTCTCTTCTTGAGGTCGGAATGGGTCCTTATTCACATCAAGTGATCGAACAACCATCGGAGTACTTAATGGATGTGCTCCATCCATATAAAACCATTTCAATACCTTTTCTATGTAGGCAGATTGATGAACAAAAATTATGTTTGCCAAATGTTCAATTTGCAAATCAAGACATAATTTTGTCTTTCCGAGATCTTTCATCTCGAATTCCTTCTTTAAATAATCAGTTGCCTTTGGAGTTCTATGGGAATTCCAATAAGGTTTATGTCATCAACATATACGGCAAGTACAACAAATTTCGATGTTGTTTTCTTTAGAAAAATACATGGACAAATGGCATCATTTATATAACCTTCCTTTAATAAATACTCACTAAGACAATTATACCACATTCGTCTTGATTGCTTTAGACCATACAAAGATCTTTGCAATTTGATTGAAAATATTTCCCGGGACTTTGAATTATGTGTGTTGGACATTTTAAATCTCTCGGAAATTTTCATATATATCTCATTATCAAATGAGCCATAAAGGTAGGCGGTAACCACATCCATTAAATGCATGTCAAGCTTTTCATGGACAGTAAAACTAATGAGATAACGGAACGTTATAGCATACATAACGAGTGAATATGTCTCTTCATAATCGACACCATGCCTTTGTGAAAATCCTTGTGCAACAAGGCATGCCTTATATCTTTGTACCTTATTATTCTCATTCCTCTTGCGTACAAAGACTCATTTATAGCCAACAGGTTTAATTAGGTGTTTGGACTACAGGCCCAAAAACTTCACGTTTCGCAAGTGAATTCAACTCTGATTGGATTGCTTCTTGCCATTTTGGCCAATCACGTCTTTGTCGACATTCTCCAACAGATTGAGGTTCAAGATCCTCACTATCTTGCTTAATTCTAAATGCAACATTATATGCAAAGACATAATCCCCCACTATATCCAATCGATTCAAATTTGTCTCAATATCGATTGGATTTATTGATAGTTCCTTATTTTCTTGACGAGTCTCGGGCTCAGTGGTTTCCTCATGAATCTCAGAATTTATTAAATCGTGGATTTCTTCACGAGATTCTTTCGTAGTGTCATTTTGATCATTTGTTTTCCTTTTTCTAGGATTTCGATCTTTGGAACCCAATGGTCTGCCACGTTTTAGGCATGCTTTTGACTCATTAGCTATAAGATTAGAGATTGTCCAACAGGGACATCAATACGGATTGGAACATTTTCTGTAGGGATATGTAATTTTGTTATCTTTTTCTGATCCGTAAATGCATCTGGCATTTGATTTGTTATTTTTTGCAAATGAATAATCTTTTGCACCTCTTTTTCACAAATAGAGGCACGTGGATCAAGATGAGATAATGATGAATTTTTCCACAAAATTTTTCGTTTGGTTTCACCAATTTCTCCCCCTAATTTTGGGAAAAGTATCTCATTGAATCGACAGTCTGCATATCGTGCAGTAAACAAATACTCCGTTAATGTTTCGAGGTAGCGAATAATGGAGGGCGATTCAAACCCAACATATATTCCTAACTTTCTTTTGGGGGGGGCCATTTGGTGCGATATGGCGGTGCTACAGGCACATATACTACGCATCCAAAAATTCTTAAATGGGATATATTAGGTTCATGACCCAAAACTAATTGCAACGGGGAATATTTATGATAATTTGTCGGTCTGAGACGAACTAGCATTGATGCATACAAAATAGCGTGACCCCAAACAAAAGTGGACAACCTCGTTTTCATGAGTAACGGTCTTGCTATCAATTGCAGACATTTAATTAAAGATTCTGCAAGACCATTTTGAGTGTGAACATGAGCTACAGGATGTTCCACTTTTATACCAATTGATAAGCAATAATCATTAAATGCTTGGGATGAAAACTCGGCAGCATTATCAAGTCTAATAGACTTAATTGGATTATCAGGGAATTGCGCTCGTAATCGAATTATTTATGCCATTAATTTTGCAAACGCGAGGTTGCGAGATGACAATAGGCACGCATGAGATCATCTAGAAGATGCATCTATTAAGACCATAAAGTATCTAAATGACCCACTAGGTGGGTGAATAGGTCCACAAATGTTCCCTTGTATACGTTCCAAAAATGCATGGGACTCAATTCCAACCTTTGTTGGTGATGGTCTAATAATTAACTTGCCTTGATAACAAGAAGTGCAAGAAAAATTATTATTTAAAAGAATCTTTAAATTCTTTAATGGATGCGCATTTGAGTTTTCTATAATTTGTCTCATCACAATTGATCCAGGGTGTCCCAATCGATCATGCCAAAGTACAATAGTATTGGAATCAGTAACCTTTTGGTGTACAGTAGAATGTGTCTCAATTGTACTAATTCTTGTCCAATACAGGCCACAAGATAAAGATGGGAACTTCTCAATAACCCTCTTTTGGCCAGAGACATTTTTGGTAATGATGAGATATTCAAGATTATTCTCATCTATTGTCTCAATATGATATCTATTTCGGCGGATATCTTTAAAACTCAACAAGTTCCTCTTGGACTTGGAGGAGAACATTGCATTCTCTATGATAAGTATTGTTCCTTTAGGCAGAGTTATAGTAGCCCTTCCAGAGCCTTCAATTAATTTACTACTACCAGAAATTGTAGGAACATCTG